GCACATTAATAGAAGCAAAGACAAAAACCACTTGATCATCTCAATAGATGCAGAAAAAGCCTTCAACAAGATCCAACACCACTTCATGATAAAAGCTCTAAGAAAACTAGGAATAGAAGGAATATACCTCAACATTATAAAGGCTTTATATGACAAACCTGCAGCCAACATCATACTTAATGGTGAAAAACTGAAACCATTTCCCCTAAAATCAGGAATGAGACAAAGGTGCCCACTATCCCCACTCCTATCCAACATAGTACTAGAATTTCTAGCCAGAGCAATTAGGCAAGAAGAAGAAATAAAAGGAATACAAATAGGTAAAGAAACTGTCAAAATATCCCTATTTGCAGATGACATGATCCTATATCTTAAAGACCCCAAAACTCTTAGAAACCATAAACAGCTACAGCAAGGTGGCAAGATACAAAATCAACTTATAAAAATCATTAGCTTTTCTATACACCAATGACAAATTAAGAAAGAAAATATGCAAACAATTCCATTTATAATAGCCTCAAAAAATATATATGTAGGAGTAAACTTAACAAAAATGTGAATGACCTCTACAAGGAGAATTACAAATCCCTGAAGAAAGAGATCGAGTAAGACTACAGAAGGTGGAAATCTCTCCCGTGCTCATGGATTGGTAGAATCAACATAATAAAAATTGCTATACTACCAAAAGCAATTTACATGTTTAATGCAATTCCCATCAAAATTCCAATGATATTCATCACAGAGATTGAAAAATCTACCCTAAAGTTCATTTGGAAACACAAGAGACTGTGAATAGCCAAGGCAATACTCAGCAAAAAGAGCAATGCTGGTGCTATCACAATACCCGACTTCAAACTATATTATAAAGCAATAGCAATAAAAAAACCACATAGTACTGGGACAAAAACAGATATGAAGACCAGTGGAACAGAATGGAAGACCCGGATATGAATCCACACAACTATGCCCACCTTTTTTTGGACAAAGGTGCCAAAAACATACAATGGAGAAAAAGCAGCCTCTTCAACAAATGTTGCTGAGAAAAGTGGTTATCTGAAACTAGACCCATCTTAATACCCTGCACTCTTATCAACTTAAAATGGATCAAGGACCTTAATGTCACACATGAGACTCTGAAATTAGTACAGGAAAGGTCAGGGAATACTCTGGAAGCAATAGGTATAGGCAAGGACTTCCTCAATAGAACCCCAGCAGCCAGCAACCAAAAGAAAGGATGTACAAATGGGACTACATAAAATTAAAATGCTTTGACACAACAAAAAAAATAGTCTCTAAACTGAAGAGACCACCCACAGTTGGGAGAAAATATTTGCCAGCTATACATAAGACAAAGGACTGATAACCAGAATATACAGAGAGCTCAAAAAACTAAAGTCCCCCAAGATCAATGAACCAATAAAGAAATGGGCAACTGAGCTAAACAGAACTTTTTCAAAAGAAAAACTTCAAATGGCCAAAAAACACCTCAAAAAATGCTCACCATCTCTGGCCATAATGGAAATGCTAATCAAAACCACACTAGGATTCAACCTCACCCCTGTTAGAATAGCTATTATCAAAAGCACCGCCAACAACAAATGTTGGTGATGATGTAGAGAAAAAAGAGCCCTCATACACTACTGGTAGGAATGCAAGCTAGTACAACCACTGTGGAAAACAATATGGAAGCTTCTTTAAAAACTAAACATAGATCTGCCATATGATCCAGCAATCCCATTCTTAGGGATATACCCAAGGAAATGTGACTCAGGTTACTCCAGAGGTACCTGTACACCCATGTTTAATGCAGTGCTATTCACAATAGCCAAGTTATAGAAATAGCCAGATGCCCCACTACTGACGAATGGATTAAGAACATCTTGTATTTATGCACAGTGGAATTTTACTCAGCCATGAAGAAGAATGAAACCTTATCAATCACAAGTAAATGGATGGAACTGGAGAACATCATTTTAAGCGATGTCAGTCAGGCTCAGAAAAGCAACAATCAGATGTTCTCCCTCTATGTGACTTTAGATCTACAACAAATGCAGTAATATTATTAGACTTGGGTCACATGCTAAGGGTACAACACATACAGGAGGAATTGGGATATGTAGGAAACCCAAAACTTGAAAGTGTTTGATGTGCCCAGTGAAGAGGAGCTAATACGGTAACCTTAAAATGACAGAGGTCAATATGGGAAGGTGACTGGGAAGTAATGAAGAGGTCAAGTAGAGATGAATTAATTTGGGTTGTAATACACTTGTGCATGGAAACAATGCTAGGAATCCCTCTATATAGCTATCCTTATCTCAAGTAGCAAAATCGCTTTGTCTTTCTTATTATTGCTTATGTCTACTCTTCAATAAAATTGGAGAAAAAGGCAGAATAGGTTCTGCCTGGAAGCGAGGGGGATGGGGGGGAAATGGAGGAAGTGGGGGGCCAGGGGGAGAAATGGACCCAACAATGTATGCACATATGAATAAATGAATTAAGAAAATAAGTCCTTCTTGTACAAGTTCATTGTATAGTGAGAGACAGAGAAAGGTAACATTTATGTCAGTGTGAGAAGGCCTTTTGAATCCACAATGTTAGTAAATGATCTAAACATCAGAATCATAATTCTAAAGAAGGGTACTAGAAATTCTTTTACCTCCTCAGGCTATAGGGTTGTAAGTAAAAGTTCTTTTGAAGGATGCAACCAAGGGTACTGAGGAAATTGTTTTCTCTGCACTTGTTTGACCTGTGGATAGTCTTCTTTCACCTGTCAACTGTCCTTCTAAGCAAAAGGAGCTTGTGTATCTTGTCCTGGGGCATTATTTTGAGGACATTTGTGGAACATAATGGCATGACATTTATACATACTCATCTTCTGACTCTGAGTGTGCATATGTTATATGTGTGTGTGTGTGAATATGTAAACATCACAGCCATTCTAAAGAATTTGGAAATAACTTTTCACACATATAGTTTTCTTGCTTCTTTAGACTTCTTTTTTTGTTAGAGAATTATCCCATCTCCATAGTCCTTGGCCTGTGAAGCATGGAGAATTAGGGAATATTCACATATTCCGCCCAATCAACTATTAAACAGTTTGGGAACTAGATTTTTCTGTTACTAGCCTGGAAGGTACTGAAACATGAAGGCAGCCTTGCAGATCTGTCTTCTGATTTCCTTTGTTTCAGGTGAATTAATTTCCTTTGTTACTTGTAATAATATGAGGCCTTCTCTTCTTACCAGTGAAGGGTGGAATGAGAATGAAGGTCTAGATCCTCTTTGCTTCCATTGCCATTTTATGATATTCTCATTTAATCCCCAAAGCAGCTCTGTGACTTGAGGTCATTGACATGGACACTGTTTCTTGCCTTTCAGATTTTCCATATAAGCATGCAGTACTTTCACAAATACACACACACACAAAGAAAATCCCCTTCCACCCCCTTTTTTTTTTTTACAATATTGAGGCCATGGTTTCCTTTCAATATTTTACTTTTCTATACATCATTCTTGTCTCATATTCAGATTTCCTGTCATTAAAAATTCCTTAAAAACGTGGTTTAGACAAGCTCAATAAATCCATATAGGAAGGTAAAGTAGTTTTATTTACTCTTCTATCATAGACCATTTAGGATAAATAATGGATCATCAAATGAATATCATAAGGAAGTAATATTGAACCATTAAATATCATGATTTTGAAATATTTAATAACTACAGAAAATGCTAGTGATATAAATGAAAAAAGCATGGTTATAAAAGTATGGAATATGCCCTAATATTTGTAATGTATAGCACAGATTTATTAACGACAGAAACTAGCATGGTTAATATTCTGATGTATGTGTAGATGGTAAGATTAAGGTTAGTTTTATGTTTTATTTAACTGAATTTTAGAAAATCTTCTTAATGTCAGTGTATTTCCTTCACTTTTATAAATAAAATTTAAAAAATCTTTACCAGGAATGTTCAGGTAGAAAATATAAAGTATTTGGATCATGATGGTGGACTGTGTGCACTCTTTTTCTCCTCTGCTCTCAAATCCTCAAAAAGAAAATTTGTACATTTCTATGTACAAACTCCCTCTCTCCCTTCCTCTCTCCCTCCCCTCCTCTCTCTCTCTCTCTCTCTCTGTCTCTCTCTCTCTCCCTTTTCCTGTCCTCTCCTCCTTCCTATCTTCTCTGTCTCTGAATTCTTTTTAAGACTTGTGAGGAATTCCTGGAAGATAGAAAGCAGATGGAGCGGCTAAGGAAGCTGTTGGACAGCAGGCAGCCAGAAAGTGGGAGGAGGGGAGCCGGCCTGTCTGGCAGAAGTTGAGGGAATCAGTTGCGCGGCTCAAGAATACAATAAAGGAGAGCGCCTGTGTCCTGTGGCTGCCCGCCGAGCGGAAGGCTAGATGGTAGGAGGCGGGGACAAGGTGCGGGCGGGCTCAAAGGAGGCGGGTTCCTGAAAGGGCAAAAACCGCGGTTCCACTGTCGGGCCAAGCAGACTGGTGCTGTCTGTGAAGGCCAGGCCTCGCTGACTTCCCAGAGACTTGCCGCTGCCTGCAACTTTGCTTCTGCAGTCTCGCCTTTTTTCTCTTGCCTACCTTCCCTGTCGTCTCCTTCGCTGTTGCTTTGCCACAGCCGCAGCAGCATCAACAACAGCTAAGTGGCCGATTCGGGGACTTGGGGTTGGGAGTTGGGGAAGGCGCCAGGGGCGGACAGCACACGAGAGCCCGCCATCTCTCCCTCTCCAGCCATCACTGCTCCTTTATCCCCTCCCGGGAAGGGAGAAGAAAGCGCAAGCCAGAGGCACACGCTGTCCTCAGTGCCCACAGTCAGAGTTAGCACTTTCTGCCAACCTCTGGTGAAAACCTTGCGCTTGAAGGAAGGAGGGCAATTCCTGTCTCTGAGATCGCGAAAAAAACAAAAAATTTCATATTGGATAGTGTTGATTTTTTTTTGTCAGCTTAAGCAAGCAAGAGGCAGCTTTGACTAAATCCCCTTAATCTGTGAGCTATGTCTCCTCCTACTGTGCCTCCAAATGGGGTAGATGGTGTGTCTGCATACCTGATGAAGAAAAGGCACACTCACAGGAAGCAGCGGCGCAAGCCCACTTTCCTCACTCGTAGGAACATTGTGGGCTGCCGCATTCAACACGGTTGGAAAGAGGGCAATGAGCCGGTGGAGCAGTGGAAGGGCACTGTACTAGAGCAAGTTTCCGTGAAGCCCACTCTATACATCATTAAATACGATGGCAAAGACAGCGTGTATGGACTAGAACTGCACCGAGATAAGAGAGTTTTAGCGCTGGAAATTCTTCCTGAGAGAGTGCCATCTCCTCGCATAGATTCGCGCCTGGCAGATTTCCTGATTGGGAAGGCAGTGGGGCATGTGTTTGAAGGCGAGCATGGTACAAAAGATGAATGGAAAGGCATGGTGCTGGCGCGAGCTCCTGTGATGGATACTTGGTTTTACATCACCTATGAAAAAGATCCAGTCCTCTACATGTACACCCTGCTGGATGACTACAAAGATGGTGACCTGCGCATCATTCCAGATTCCAACTACTATTTGCCTACAGCAGAACAAGAGCCTGGAGAAGTGGTCGATAGCCTCGTGGGCAAGCAGGTGGAGCATGCCAAAGATGATGGGTCCAAGAGAACCGGTATTTTCATCCATCAAGTGGTGGCCAAGCCTTCTGTCTACTTCATTAAGTTTGATGATGATATTCACATTTACGTCTATGGTTTGGTGAAAACTCCGTAAGTTCATTGAGTTCTTTGAAAAGTTGTGAAACTACTTAGGTATAAAATATTTCCTGCTATCATAATTGTAAACTTTGAGAACAGTTTTGAGGTCAGAAATTCAGGAAAATGGGTAAATCTTACTGTTCCTCCACATCTTGCATTGACTAGTTCCACACTTTTGCCCCATGTGTATGTACTTTGTTACTTTGATACTGCTTTGTTCTGTAACTGAAAATTTAAATTGGGTGCTAACAGAGTATTAAAAAGTGTTTGCAGTCATCCTAACAATACTAAAGTAGATGAATCCTACACCCTATCCTTCCCCCCCATTTTCATCCTCCCTCTTTCTTCTTCCAAGGTAATAAATTTGAGAACCTAACATATCCTTCCATGTTTTCTCCACCCTCATACATAATGTTTGTTGTAGTAGTTTCTGTAAAATTGACAAGCCAGATGACATCTCTTCTGATTAGTAGCTACAGTCAGTCTCTCTCAATCTGTCTCTCCATTCCTGGCTCTCTAACAGCTGCATACACAGTACATGTAGATATACCAAAAAAAAAGTATTCATTCTGTTATTGATGGTCATTTATTTCCTTTTTTCCCCCCACAATAATATTGCTGATATATATATGTGTATATATATATATGCTTTTAGTTTTTTATTTCAGAAGTGCTAAGTACGTTTATATTTAATTTTAAGAAACATTACAAGATTACCACCCAAAATGAAAATGCCCATTTCCTGCATTCTCTGTAGCAGTATTTAATGCTTGAAAATCTGAAAGCTATGGTTCTGGATGTTACTTGTATTTTACTTGACTTAAATGAGGATTTCTTTTTCTACTTGGACATTTCTCTTTTGTGATTTCCGATTTTTATCCTTTGTTTATTTGTCTATTTAATTTTTGATCTTTTACTTATAAATTTGTAGGAATTCCTGCTTTAAAGTGCATTTAGTCATTCAGAGCCCATGTGTTATGATTTTTCCATTATATCATTAACCTTTATTGATTGTATCTTTCACTTTACAATTTAATTTTTTTATAGTAAGACCATTGCTTCTTTTATGGCTTTTTGGCTTCCTGTCTTTTCAGATAGATGCCCCCATCTTAAGTTATGCAAGTACATTTTTTCTAATAATTTTTATTACTTTTAAAGTTTAAATGTTTGATCTAACTGAAATTTATTTTTGTACATAGTAAAAGACAGGGATCCAAGTATGCATTTTATTCACATTGGCTATCCAATTGTACCATTTACTTCAAAAAAATGCCCATTTTCAATTTTGTGCTCCAATATCACATAATTTTAAATATAGTAGCTGACCATACGTTTTAGAATCTGATAACACAAGTCCCCTTTAATTAGTTTTCTTTCTTATATAATTTGCCCTCCATATTGATTCTTGTATGTAAAAACCGAAGGTATTTTTTTTAACATTTAAAAGATGTCTGATATCTTAAGTAGAATTACATTAAATTTATGCATTTCTCTTTAGAGGATTACTTAATAATATTAATCCTTAGTATTCAAGAGTTTTGGTACATCATTTAAATTTTTTGGCTTTGTTTTCATAATATTCTTTATATAGATCTATCACATCTAATTGGGTTTATTTTAAAATATTTTTACACTTAAGTGTTTTTATATTTTGACATTATGAACTGGATATTTTTTCCTCTTATGAAAGCTGTTATTTTTGGCAGTAATGGCAATTTACAGATTTTTATATTTTTATCTTTTATCCAATCTGTTTATTTAATCCTCTAAATTACAGTGGGTTTAAAAATAAGATATTTTGAACTTTTGTAAATATACAATCATTTCACATGTAAATAAAGATCCTCTTATTTCTTGTAATGTTTATACTTATTTAATTACATTAGCTGGATTTGCCAGAACAGTGTTTTATAATGATGATGACAGACATACCTGTCCTATTTTTAATTTCATAGAAATTACTTTAGTATTTCATAGTAGTGTGACATTTGCTCTTGGCTATTGATAGTTATTAACAGGTTTAGGAGTTTCTTCTGTTCCTGTTTTACACTGTGTTATTATTAGAAGTGGCTCTTGGATTTTATCAAATGCCTTTTCAGCATTTACTGTTAAAAGTCATATGATTTTTCCCTTTAATTTGTTGATGTAATGAATTAGAGTGGTAGGTGTTCGGTGTTGAGACGAGTCCGTATTTCTGGAATAAATCCTACTTGGTCGTGGTAAAAAAAATCATTTTTTACTTTGCTGGATTTTATTTACATACATTTCATTTAGAATTATTGCATTTGCATTTCAAAGTAAAATTGTGTGTTTTCTATGCTATCTTTATAAGTTTTCATTATTAAAGTATGTTAGCTTTGAAAAATATGACGTGGTGAGTTTTCAATATTTTCCTATTGTCTGAAATAGTTTGAATAACATTAGAATTGTTCTTTAAAAGTTAGTGTTAAGCTGTAAAACACTTTAATCCTTTTGATTATGGATTTTTAATCAGTTGTTTAAAATTTTTTTTTCCATGGGAAATTGGTTTACTCAAGCCTTTGGTTGAAAAAAGAATACATATTCTCCATCAAATACAAACTTCAAAATTGCTTCTAGTATCAAGCTGTTGATTGTAGTATTCAGATGCTTTATGCCCTTGTATATTTTTGTAATAAAATAATCAGCTACAATGCTGCTTTAAATAGCCTATGTATTCTTTTTATTAAAAAAAATAAACAAAATTTTAAAATTTATGAAAGATATGACAAATATTTGTTTACCTATACTCCAAGTTAACAAATACCAACATTTTGGCTTGTCTGCCTGAGACATAGATCTATATTTTTCAACAATAAAAACCATTTCCTCTGCAGAGACAGTCATACATTTGGTGTGAATCATGCTCATGTTTTAGGTATTTACTACACATAAATCTATCACTAGTAGGGGTTAATACTACTAGTAGTGTTTTTTTTTCAATTTAACATGAATGATCAACTTTATTTAATTATATATTTAGTTTATTGTTTTTTGGGAGGGGACTGTTGGGAACAAGGTCTCATTTTGTAGTCCAGGCTGGCCTGGAATGCACTATGTAGCTCAGGCTGGTCTCAAACTCTTCCTGCCTCAGCCTTCCTAGTGAATGATCAACTTTAAACCATATAGAATTTATTTTGTGATTTTTCTTGTAGGGATCTTCTTTTCACCAATTGAAAATTGGACTACTACAATAACAACAATAGCATCGACCTTTATGTGCTAATTTCTATTCACTTTGACCACTCCTGACACGCAGGCTTGGCTCTAGCCATTGAGAAAAATATATATATATATATATATATATATATATATACAAATCTGATATATAGATATATCATGCTGTAACGATTATTTTGAAAAAAATGCAAAGCGATGGCAAGTAGGGTGACAAGATTGGATCTTAGGATGTGGTATTTTATATAGTTAGACAGAGAAGGCCTCAGAATATGTCATTTGAATAGACACCTGGATAAAGTGACAGAGCAAATTGTGTTGTTAATGCCTTGAGATAGAATGTGACCAGATTAAAATATGAACAAGGAGGAAACTGATAGGATATGAGATCAGACATCAGTCTGGGTTCCAGATTCTTTTACAGTCTTGTGGACTGCTAATAGGAATTTAGATTTTAATCTTAGCAGATGGGCAGGCACCAGTATTGATCAGAAATGTGACAATTGTTCTTATATTACTCATTGAATAATATGACTTGAAATGCCTCTTTCATCATCTGATATTATCTTATTTGTGCTTGATCTATTTTGTCCCATGAACTTAGGTGTCTTTTTTTCTATTTGACATGTCTGGAGAACCCAGTACCTCTGATGTATCAATGTTCTGTATCTGCCAGTTAGCTGATTCTGACTTTTGGCTTTCTTTACATAAGCAGTTTGAAGGGAGTTAAAGTAAAAATAAAACTTCATACTTCTTTAACTCTAGAATTCCACTGTATTTTATTAAATGATAGGGAGAAAATGTCAAACACTGAAGCAAATGATCCTAGTTGGGAGATTACACAGAAATTCAGACAGAAACTTGTAACTTAATTTTAGAAATGAATAAGGAGTATTGCAAAGAGAAATTAATATTGTAGCTGAATAACTCTATAAGGAAAGTGACTACATAGCAATCAGAGGCCTCCAGGAATATGAGTTATCTATGGAAAACAGAATGCTAGGGTATGTTTGAGAGAGTGAGTTTAAAAGGAAAGAGCACATGAATAAGGACTGAATTAGTAAGTAAATGTAGGCATAAAATGGTCCTCCTATTTATTTTGTTTGGTGCCTGAACAGGTCAAATAAATGAATGAAATGTGTCATGTTGTTTTTACTTGGAAAAAATCTTCTATTTATAAATATATAAAAGTTTATTTCTAAATTAGTGTATTTTTACTGAACTTAATTCTAAGTTTTTGATTTACTCTTTACTGCTTGAACTATGTTCATAGTTTGTGAAAATGGAAAGAATCCATATTTCTTTACCTTCACAAAAATCTTCATGCGTCACTCATGCTCTCACTAAGCATTTAAACTGAAAAGGAGTTAGACTCATTTTAAAGACAAGTTAATAATCATGAAAGGATTATTAATGTTTGCTTTAATTAGTGCTTAAATACTTATTCATTTATTCATGGAATGAAACAAAATGTGCCATACATTTTCCCAAGACTGGGAAAATATGAGGCATAACATATGGTATTTTTTACTACAAGTAGACTTCAAAGCAATAGCAAAGATAAAACATAGATATGAAATCCTGCAAAATCTGATGAAAACAATGTCATAAATATTATTAAAGTTTTAGCGAGGAATATATATATTCTGTCAATTCAGATAAAGGGAGGAAGAAAAGATGGAAGGAAAGAGGGAGGAGAGAGAGACAGAGAAAGAGAGAAAAGAGAGAGAGATTATTCCATTGAATTTTATCTTCTTTGAGTTAAACAAGCAAGAGGGTTTCTCAGTTGATCATTTCATACTAACAATATGGCAACATAAC